CTCCATGGAGATGTTACTCCTTTGTCCGGAATGTTCCACAGTATGGCATTAAACGCATCCATCTTGCATTTCAGGAAACACGGTGATGTTATTGTTAAAAAGACGCACTCTGGCTTTTGACATATTTGTGACATTTGAGCACGGAATAAACAGAGTCCAGCGTTAATGACACGACCACAGAGGAGTTTTATTTACAGATCCGCGGGTTTGTTCAGAGAAACTGTCTAAAGTTTATTCTGAGCTCGGTTAGCTAACGCACAACTCAAGATCACATGGTCAATCATCTGAACCAAGACTGTCGTTCTTGTAACATTTTGAGATGACAGGTGTTATTACACATCATCGCGTTATTAATGTTTATAAAAGTGTCACGGTGCGGATGGAATGAAGAGTTTTTTACCTGAACGACTCTGAAATCGGCTGCTGCTCGTCCGTCTTCAAAATCTGCTCGGGTGGAAAGCGACAATATTTCTATGGTTCCGAGCTATTTTCAGAAACGCGAGGAACTAAATTATTGTGCATCTGTGAATGCGTCCAATTAAAATTCTGTCAATAATTGAATCAATGATTAACCAATGGTTGACCTGAAGGGGAGAAATGCTGTCTTTGGCCTGTGTAGCTGTTTTATCCTACAGGCCTGTTGTGTCCAGACTATATATGGTCCAGACTGGGGTCTCCAACCTGTAGCTTTCTGAATTATACATATTGTGCTGAATAACTCAAATTTGACTGATTAAATGCCTATTTCCATTGTAAATGTATCATTTTGATGCTCAATTGTATACACAGATTACTGGATAATGGTTTATTTTTTATAGACATCTAACTGTACCCCATCTACGGCTTGCCATGGCGTTTATGTTTATTCAATTTCTGGCAACCCCTAAAATTAGTAGCTCTTTGGCATTTTTGTTTAAAAAAAAAAAAGTAGCTCACAGGAAGAAAAAGTTGAGGACCCCCTGGTCCAGGCCATAGACTGTTTATGGTCCAGACTGTGTCTGTCACTGACAAAATCAAAACTAATGGAATTTAGAGATTCTTGCATTTGGAAAACATTTATACTCATATTTTCTGATTATTTTCAGTTGCAATGAGATGACACTCATTCCCACATTGCTGTTATTGTAGCACTGCTACTGGATCTAAAGAACTCACCAGCACCTCACCGTTTTTGCCCAGTCCAAATGTAAACACAAAACAGACAACATCATTTTTCTCAAGTGTGTACAAACTTGTGGCAATTTTGTCTTGTGAGATTTTGTCCGATCTTAGTTTTACCAACAAACCTTCTTTGTGTTGAGTAGGTCTATGTCTTTGGTCATTTCATTAATACAAATACAACAAAAATACAACAAAAATTCTAAACTGAGTAATGAAACAGCAGTGCGTAACATGAAGTAAAATAAATCTACCAAGGAAAAAGTCATAACCAGCAGGAAAGACCTGACCTAACAGAGAATAGGAGCAGCTGATTATCAGTGTGGTTAGTGCACACTCAGACTCGAATTATTATCAGACTTTTTTAAATTGAAAGTTTATTAAAATGACAAGTAAAAGATAACATGGTCTGGTTCCTAAGTACAGATAATGATAATTTCATACTTTGCACTTTATGTTGAGGAGCGCATGTTGGAGCCCTCGTGCTCACAGCAGATTGTATTTAGTTTATTTGCTGAACAGACTTAAACGTGTTGAACTTGGACTGAGCCTGTGTCATTTACACCGCAACAGGACTACTGCCATTGCCCTGTCAGACCCTCGCAGACCCCTGCCCTCAGGGGCTTTTACTGCTGCACACATGGACATGCCACGTGTTGCTAAGCAGCCAATGGCGGAGCGGGACGCAAACAGCTGACAGTGGACAACAACAGCCTGTGCTCCTGTGTCCTGCAGGTGGTGTGTAGAGTCCAGCCGCTGCTGACGGGAGTCCACGGCGGACAGGGCCGACCCTGTTCTGTCTACAATGTTTACTTTTCACTCGTGCGTTAAATAGAGGGCGCTTGGCTCTGAGCGGAGGCGCACAGTGACAGGCGCAGCGCAGCAGCCATGGCTCCGTCCCTGATCCAAGCCTGCCGCAGTCTCGCGCTCTCGACGTGGCTGCTGTCGTTTTGCTTCGTCCACTTGCTGTGCTTGGACTTCACGGTAGCCGAGAAAGAGGAGTGGTACACTGCTTTTGTTGAACTCACGTACAGTGACCCCACTACTGCGGAGGTAAAGACCGATAAAACGGAGTGCGGTCGGTACGGGGAGCAGTCTCCGAAGAAGGAGACCAGCGGAGTGGTCCTGATGCCCATCTTCCCCCAGGACAGACAAGGCTGCGACCCAAACGCTCGGTTCCCTCCTGTGCCCCCGCGCAGCGCCTGGGTGGCACTGATCGCGTTAGGAAACTGCACTTACAAAGAGAAAATCCGAAACGCCGCGGCCAACAATGCAACTGCGGTTATTGTTTACAGCCTGGGCACAGGGAGCCCCAACGACACCATTACCATGTCCCACCCAGGTAAGGCACGTGTGCGCGGCACAGCGTCATTTAGTGTGTGTCCAGAGTATGTGCCCTGTGCACATTACACACACAGGCCTGTACTAACGTGTGGCTGTAGGCCACAGACAACAAAGAGTGTGGCCAGGTCAGGCTCACTGTTGAATATCTGTAGTTCTTCAAGTTTCCAAACAGCAGGGCTGCAGCAGCGCTCCAACACACAAGAATATCTGTCATTTATTAGCCGTGTCTAGTCTCACGTGCCCACCTCCAGGTCAGAGGTGGATGTGGAGTGTCCTTAATTATTTGCTTCCTCATGGCCCATGATTTAACCTGTAAATGACACATGTAGGCCATTCAGACTTAACCTGAAAACAAAGGTTCAGTTTACGTCCAGCTCCTCTCGGTGTTATGTAGGTCAGTAGGGCTTCAGGCTTCTGTCCGCCACTTAAAATTGTCACAAAACATCCTCGTGACGTGTGTAATAGACAGCCTTTTTCCACATTAGCTGCATATCCGGTTTTGGGGTGTACCTCACTTAACCAGAGAAACTTGCTGTGCTCATTATTGTAATACTAATACTTTAAGTACAATATAATGACACATTGCACACCAATATTTTCCTCTATATAAAGGCTTAAACAAGGACTAAGGACACTAAGGAACCAGGACTAGATTTCTACTAGACTTCAAAACAGACTTCTCTCTAATCACAATACAGTTTTACAGATGGTTGTGCACTGATAATGAAATACAATTAAGTTTATATAGACCATTGTGCTACTCAAATAATGCACAAATGCTGTACTATTATGATTATGATTATGATTATTATCACAACAGATTGTACAAGGACAGTGCCCATCTATTTTAAAGCCAAACCCTGGTGTGTGTCAGGCGTCAGGTCAGACTGTCCCTTCATAACACAGACAAAGAGCAAAGATAAACACATATTTTATCTTTAACTTCTTCCACTGAATCCAAAGCTGTTAACCTGGCTGCACAATATGAGAAAACGTCTTTTGTTTCGTTCACACAAGTTTGACTTCATCGCCAAAGCTCAAAACGCTCGGCTCCACCTTGTGATGTCGTGTAATGATAGTTTACAAAGACCTTTTAGCTTTGGTTCAGTCGAGATTGGTGATTCCAGAGCTGAAATTATCCAAATGATTCTAATGAAGGTGTGTGAAGTTTAAAAAAACACGGTGGAGCACTTCTGTATTACCACATGACATCACCAGGTGGAACAGAGTCTTTCAGTTTGAGGAAAGAACTCTATTGTAGTTATTAGTCTAAATAGGCAGGGCATCTCACGTAGATTAGAAAATACGGTATACGGACACTTTAAATATACCTTTTGACGAGTTCAGTTAATTAAAAAAAAAAAAAAAAAGCTTCATGAGTCTGAAATATTTGTCAAAAATAAACTCAAGTCTAATAGGATTTAATAAGAAAAATCATGAATGTAGTCAGCTTTTTTGTCCAGTTTACTTTACAAAAACTAGGGATGAAAAACTAGGACGGACTCAGCTTCTGATATTGATACTTTGACTTCACCGATACAAGTGCAGTGACGCAAGATGACACTTATTTGTTTAAAACGCAGCGAACTTATGACGCAAGAGATCCGTCTGTTTTATGTAACTGTCATTTACCCTTTAAATAATTACAGAACAACTTTGTATGCAAAAACTTGAAGCAGTATGAGACGTCCTAGGCCAAAATCAGCCTCTAAATAATCAGATTACATCCAGTTAAAGGCCTAAGCTTAATCGATACCATTGAACCGATACCGATCCAGCTAACACCATTGATATCGGTGCATCGTTACCAAAAATGGTACACTTCTGTATTTTTATTTTCTTCTGATATCTGTTATTTCAAAATCCTGACTGGGCCTTTAATTGGATGTAATGAAACTATTTACAGCAGGGGTCTCCAACCGTTTGTATCCAGTGAGCGACCTTTAGAAAACGGGAATGTTGGAGAGCTACTCATTTTAGCGATCGCAAGAAACTGAGTGGATATAAGAGGACAAGTGTTAGATGTTGTACAGTAAGGCTACGTTCAGACTGCAGGGCTTAATGCTCAATTCCGATTTTTTTGTGAAATCCGATGTTTTTGCGAGGTCGTTCACATTTCCAATTAAATGCGACTTGTCTGAGACTCCAGTGTGAACGGTAAACGGCCCGAAAGTGTCCCGCATGCTCACTGGAGACACGATGACGTCAACCCCATGCGTCAACCGCAGCGAGCGTGCTCTGTGTTTACGGAAGTTGTCCAAACATGGACGCGAGCATTGAGCACCTGGAGATTTTACAGTTCCGGGTTTCGCCTGCTTCAGCACAGGATAGTGACGTTTGTTGCTTGTTGATGACGTGTAGGTCAGATGGATGCGCTTTGGCCGTTCAGACTGAAGTCGCATGTCAAAAGATCAGATATGTATCAGTTTCAGGACCACATATCCAAGTGGCCTGGGTCGCATTTGAAAAAATCGGATCTGTGCCTGTTCAGACTGTCATTAAAAAATCGGATACAGGTCACATAGAAGCCAAAAAATCTGATTTGGGTCACTTCAGGCTGCAGTCTGAACGCAGCCTTAGATGCCTTTAAAACAGGAATATCACTAGCTCTCCAACCCCTTACATGTAACTCGCCAGGAGATTTAAGAATTATATGCAGTGTGCTGAATAACAAAATTTGTGTTAATTAAATGGCTATTACCACTGTAAATGTATAATTTTGATGCCCTGTGTGCAGTAATACCTGGTTTATGTTTTATGAGCATCTAACTGTACCCAATTTAAGGCTGTGGCTCGTTTATATACTCAATATCTTTAAGATGAGTAGCTCTCAAAAGGTTGGAGACCACTAGCTAGGCTGATGCCGCCTACTGCCTCTGCTCAATTTAATTTTTCTCCAGCGACTAGATCAGGAATCAAAATACACTAGACAGTTCACAAAAACCCTGGAAGTGCGGGTTCGGGCACTAGCCAATCAGCGAAGAGTGATATGTTCAATGTTGTCAACGATTCCCGAGATCAAGGATTTAAAGCCAGAACAAAGAGAATGTTTGGTGAATTTCATCAAGGGGAAAGACGTTATTGTTCCTTCTTCCTACGGGATTTGGGAAAAGCTAAATATATCAGTTAGCCTCGTTAGCGTCGCATTACATACGTCACGACCAAATAGCAGCGACTGGTTAAATGATAAAAAGTACCCGCCTACTGTAGAGTGAACAATTTCTAACTCTGCAAGGTCTTCTACGACGTGAAACCGGTTGATGAATCAGGCTAGGAGACCCCTGCTTTAAAACATAAATTCATTATCCGTTTATTAGAGTACAAAGTTCAAATGAACACATGTACAATGGTAATTTATTATTCAGAATAATAGAGTTATTCAGTATAATACGTAATTCAGACATTTTTTCTGGCTCCTGAGCTAGTGGTTGGAGACTCCTGATTTACATGCTGATATTTGGTGTGTAATTGTGTAACTTTCCATCCCTAAACTGAATATTGGTTATTGGTAGAAACTTAAAGGTGCGTTGTGTAATTTTTCTGCTGGAGGGTCCGTGAAATGCTTTTCTCCATGGAGATGTTATTGCTTTATCTGGAATGTTTCACAGTATGACATTAAACCTTTCTATCTTCATGGAGACCAAACCTGACCAAGTTACAGGTCAGATCTGTGGAGAGGCGATGCTGCTCACATCAGAATGCCTGTTTTCCAAGATATTTTTGAGCTATAAAACCACCTGTAATTGAATAAATGTAATGTAGAGCTGTTTAATGTCATACTGCGGAACATTCCAGGCAGAGCAATGACATATCCCCCAACCAAAAAGTTACACAGTGCCAACAAAAATATCGGTATTGGCACTGAAAGATCTGAATTTTCTCATTTTAACTGAAAACCCGGCTGCTCCTCACACCAGTTCAGCAGCATTTGTCTCTCTCTGACACAGGTCCTATTTTAGCTGCCTCTATTTTGGTCCCTCTGGCTGCGTCACCCGGAACAGTGGAGCAGATAAGATCTCGGATTAGGGAAACCTTACATGCCTACTGCCCCTTTTCCTCATTTCCTCAAAGATGGTCTCGAGTTTATTTCCCCTCTCTGTGTTATAATGTTGTTGCCTCATCACAAACAAACCTGGAGGTGTGTTTTGTTTCATTCATGCAAGTTTAACACACAAACCCTGCACATTTAGGCTGAGTTCTTCTCTCAAACTGAAAACTTAAACTCCATACACCTTCACTAGAATCATTTGGATAATTTCAGCCCTGGAATTTCCAACATCTACTGAACTAAAGGTAAAAAGTATGTTAACTTGAAAACTAACGCTTCATGACATCGCAAGGAAGAAAAGAGCTTTGATAATAATAAAGTGTTACTCGAACATGTGAGAATGAAACAAAACACAGCTTCTAGTATGTTCAGCAAATAACAAAGGCTGCAATTTTTGAATAATTTCTTCGACAAACAGCAAAATCTCTTGTCTTATTACCCATAACAACGGCCAACCCTATAGTTTAGATCCGTTTAAGCATTAGGGGTGTGCAAAAATATTGAAATATCAATATATCGTATTGTTTAATGTGATGATGCAGTATTGATATCGTGGGCTGCTGTATCGATATATCGCCAAGAGCATTTTTTGTATATTTTACTAAATTATTTTGTTACAGCGCTACAGTTTTGTTGTTTGTTTAGAGGAAGGAAACTCATTTATGCGACACATTTGACATTTTCACTGTTTTGATGATTTAAATGTTTGTGTTTCATATGAACTTTACACAAGAAGCGGTTTAACAAAGACTTTTAGTATCACAGTCATTAGTTAGCCTTTATTTGTATCAAATAGGGATGTAACGATATCCAAATCTCTTGGTACGATATTATCACAATATGCATCTCATGTTACGATATTTATTGTGATATTTTGGAGTTGCATATTCACAGTTTTGTAAGCCTTTGTAACCGTGAGATGCATATCGTGAAAAATACTAAATATAATT